AAAAAAAAAAAACAAACACTGTTATTTGAAAGAACTGCACCGATAGCCCTCTTCACCGCCCGCGCGTTTATTCTGCGTTGCTTCGATGCACAATTCAGAAGGAGACTCTAAAATGAAAATAATAAAAGATCCCCGTGAGTCATAAAGGCGTGGAAGTACTGATGACATTAGTTACCACTATTACCTGGGCTTCCTCCTGTCTTGTATGGTCTGGAAACAATCTAGAAAAGTGGTCAATCTGCTGCCCTTCAGAAACCTCCTAAGAAACCTGTACTCAAAATCTTGTAAAAATAGAATAAAGTAATAAACAAAGTTAGAAAATGCACCAAAAATTGATACTAAATGCAGTTTAAAAAGCAAAGTACATCAGTGGAAGCAGCAAACAAGTCTGCATCGTCTCCAGACACTGAAGAACTGTTTCCATCTCGCGCATTTATTTCCTCACCAGTAAGAGATTCAGCTTCCTCTTCAAAACAGCCATTGAAAAGCGATAAGAAGCAAGGCGACCTAAAATCAAAAGAAATCCAAAAAATAAAAAAAAAATGAGCAGAAACTTAATTTCTTCTACAATAAACAACACCAAAAGTTCCGAACGATTACTTTCCCAGTATAAACGCAGAATTAACCTGTCCAGATACGAACTTTCGTTTTCTTTATCCGTATAAATGAGTTCTTCTCTAGTGCACCATTCATCCAGAAAAAACTGATCGTAAATTGAATCCTCAGTTGGAAACGCACTGCCCTACAGTTGACTCTTCTTTCAAAAAAAGCTTAAGAAACAATCACTCACCCAGTTACTAATTTTCTAAATTTAGAGAAATTGATTATCAAACAGTCTATTACTAACATCACGTAAAAACATGAGCTGTTTGAACATTTCAGGCGTAAAAACAGCTTTTATTGGCCTCTCAATTTTAGCGCATAATACTGCCTCGTTCTTCAAACGAATATGTTGTGCGCCTTTCAGTTTTCTTTTGCAAACATCCAAAAACGATTCATCATTATCGTCAAATGCAAACAAATCGTCTTCTAATTGCTTCTGACCCTAAAGTATCATTATGGTAAGGATAAACTCCGATACAGCCTTATAATTAGTGAAAGCCAATTCATGTTTTTGCCAATAACTGTGAGTAACGAAATGAATATGCATTCCACAATCGTTACACTTGAACACCAAATGACGGCATAATTTTCAAGCTGTAATCACCTTTTTGCGTCGTTTTTTCGCTACAGGTAACTTCTTTTTCTCATTCGCTGAAATATTCAAAGCAGAAATACATAGACGAAAAACTTTTGATGTCTAAAAACAATAAATACAAGTTGGACTTGTAGAGAAATAATATATTCACTAAAGACTCCACCATCCTCTGCAGCGACTTCCTTTTCGGTCCGGCCGACCCAATGAGAATCATCTCCGGCGAAGGCCGTAGAAGTTAGAGTCATTGTCCCCGTGACTGGATCAAAACGAATTTTCTCAACGGTGTCTTCCTCATCTGAAGCTTCATTTGCTGGGGTATTACGATGTTCTAGATCGAAGTTCTGACCGTCTCCTTCGCCACAACCCTCTTTTGTATTCAAAGCCATATCGGCCTAGAATGGGTGAAAAAATAAAGATCATGAACTTTTCTAATACGGCATTGAAAACTAGCAGAAAAAAAATAACTTCCAAGGGTAACTAAATTGGTGGTCGAAGAAATACAAATAAAAGACGAACAGGAACAAAATTTAACAGTGTCTCGTCATTATCTACGTTTTCTGCCACTTTGACAGTAGTCACTTCCAAGCTGTGTTCAGCAGGTCTGCCTTCATCTACAACAGTGCCAGAAATGGTATTGTCTCCGTTTCTTTCGCAACAGATAGTGCCTTCATCATAGCTAAATCATTAAAACAGTTCGGTAGTATCGCACTAAGCTAAATAGTTCAGTTCATTTTCTGATTAAGTCAAAATAAGTCAAAAAAGTTACTCAGCAGTAAATTCTGAATTGTAATCTGAGAAATCGGCGCTTTCAGCCCCTCCTGTTTTGAAGATTTCTATCTTTCTCCTTGGAAACGTTCTGTCCAGTATTTGTCGTAGCTGTTTTAAGCACAATGGTACCATATTTTCCGTCAAAAAATGTGTTGCGGTTTCTTGGCAATTGTAATTTAGAGAGTTCACTTTGTCAGTCTGAAAACAAAAATTAAAGCACAGGTAAAGAAACCTTTATTGGGATGATTTAACCTAACTAAAAATGTCGCGCAAGATACTTCACCTGACTGCCACTGAATGACTCACTTATTAACGTTTAAGCAATAGCTATCGAAGCATACCTCTAAGTAAGTAAAGGAATAAAGAAAGATGAGTGATCCGGTAAACACATTTCAGAGGATTTTGAACAGTTTATATTATAAATCCAAAAAAATAAAGATCATGCTTTGTTTCTTTTACAATCCTGAGAGTTTAAATAACTGTTTATGACATTCTGTAATAACCGTTCATATAAGGAGTTGAAATTTTCGGCTTTTTGATCTCACCCATACTATAATATTACGCGATTAACAAAATACTGAAGACAGCCAACAATTCGACTAAATGTTTCTACAGTGCTGACTATACCAAAAAAAAGCGTAAAATAACCGACAACTTTTCAATCGCTCTTAAAAATCCTGCAAGCAAAAAAACCCATTAGAAAGCCGAAAACCAAATAGCCTTTTTAAAAATTTCCTGTTTTGCTCTAAGTTTTAAGCTTCATACATCGTAAATTTACATGACCGTAATTTACATTCTCTGAAATTTTCTTTCCAGATTTTCCCCGCCAGCTTCCGAGCCAGAGACCTTTTTAATTAGTCAACTGAAGCATTCCGAATGAACTTTTAAGCAGGATACCTGCCGCTCTTTAGCTCGCCAACAGTTAAATACGCAAATTTAACATAGTTCTACCAAACTAAAGACCTTACACAATCAACCTTAAGCTAATTATAAAGTATGCAGTCCATTACTTCCTCGCCTACCCTACCCATTTACCAATCCTGTCATAACATTTATTTCCATTCATATACGACACTGAAAACCTTAAAAAAACCACCTTTGAGTTCTGTTGTTGAGTGAAGTACTTACTACACTATGCGTCGAATCGTTCTTACAACAAAAGACGCTTCAAGAACCTACTGAGCCTGATAAATCCATCATTCACTGAGGGATTATAAATCATGCCTTTAAAAAATAGTGTTTGATATACAATCCGGCGCAAACTCTCACAATTCATAAAAACCCGCTCTGAATTTCATGTTCCGTAGAGTAAACAAACGAAAAAAAACAAAAACTTTTTACTTCCATAAGTTATGCTTCCTGAAGCAATTCAAAACTGGAAAAAATCCTGCTCCAAATGGCTAAATCAGCTTAAAGTACCATCGCCATGTTCGACAATCGCATCATTTCCTTTTTAAAGCGTTATTTAGAGATCAGAAAACACTCCTCTTTCATCACCAGGATCGGCTGCATCACGTGTAACTTTCGCCTTCACAGAGTTCTTATTTTATAAATTGATTTACGTCGCAAAATTTCTCACACAAAATGTCATCTTCAAAAGAAAAAAAGTGATTCGATTCAAAATACTCTTTTAAGGGTTTTACTGCAAAATTAAATATTTTTGTCAAGGTTTGTATTGAATCCTTAAAAAACGCTACTTCTAAAGATACAGAAAAATACCAAATTCCATTTAAAAAAATAAAGTGGTGAGCTCTCAAGTGCGCGTATCTGCATAAAATACTGAAAGACTTGACATTCCGATGGGGTATGGTTCCGGAATGCAAATTGTTTTTCTACAAAATTTTATTTCTTAAAATCAAACGCTCAAACTAATGGTTCACAAGACCATAAGGAAAAGCTGAGAAGTTGGCCACAAAAAATGCACAATTTGCTGTGCAGTACCTCGCTCATTAGGAAATTCTTGAGAACTACTTTGCTAACTTCTTGTTAAACCGTGGATGAAGACCTGTAATCTTTCGATACCGCAAGTAACATTTCACAGCAATAAGTAGCTTTTGGGATTTCAACATATGCCGAAAACAAAAGCGAACACGACAGTTACACACAATTTTACTTGAAACCACCTGTACCAATTATACTTCACTTAATTTGGCGACTCGGAGAGCATTTGATTCTGACGGTTATTTACAAAATAAAATTTAAATGAAGACGAGATCAGGTGAATAATTTATAAATAAAAAACATCGTAACAAAATGAGATGTCTTCTTCCAAAATCGCACTAATCAAGTTCAGCTAGCATCAAATACTGTTTATGAGTCCGCCTAACACTAATTGAAAATGAACCCTATTAATCTTTATTCTTGGGCTTCGCTGATGCACCGTTTTCGTTCGTATGACCTACTACAGTATTGAAAAATCCTACCGAAAACTGCGTTCTGTCAGCGTCTTTGAACATCATTGCCAACAAAAATTTTAAAAAATAACGTCGCACTTATAAATACAGGCCACTTCATCCCGCTTCTCAACAATTTCCAATTATTAATTCAAAATTCTTTAAAATTTTGGTCAGCAAAATTCAGGTCTACATTATAAACCCAAACAGTAAGCCTGGGAAAGTGAATTTCCCCCCAAATAATGTCCCGCTAAACCTCTAAAATTTTCATATTTATGCTCGACCTGTCCGCCTCCCAAAAAAGTAGTTCAACCTTAACAGAACCCAGCCATTTTTGGTGGACTTGTACAACCTTTTTAGGTACCTCGCCCCGTCCGCTTCAAAGCAATATTACAGCTACTAGTCCCGTAAGGCGTATTTCCAAAAACTAAAAAAAAGAAAAAAAACTCGTAGGAGACACGCCGCTTCACAACATGACACAATTTAGTAATGCGTCTTCTGGTATAGTAGGGTTAAACTGAAAAGCGTGAAGAAACTGATAAAAATTCACTTTTTACAGTAATCGTTTTTTAAATGGGTGAAATCATCGGCAGTAACAAAATCTGCTTGAAGATGCAAACCTTTGTTAATATCCAGGACGTTTCAAATGTTGTAGACTTGTCCTAAGACATTAACTTTCATATGAAAAATTCACAAACTATTATTCCAAACCTTGAAAAGAAAGGCTTACACCTTAACATCATCCGCCTCGTAAATTCTGCGCTCAATTTTGATGGTCGAAGATGGATACTGCTCTGCAAAAAGTGTCCTGTTAACGACAGGAGTTCTACTGGTCTAGAGGACATTTGTACCCTTAGCAATAACAACATTCGCTTCTTCTCGAAATCTACCACAAGTGAAAAGGATACATAATTATGGTGCAAGCCTTTCCGAGTTTTGTTACTGCTTGATGTTTCAGGAGCTTCAAAGAAAATGTTTCATTAAAAATTTCAAGTAATGACCACAACCCTTTTCTAAACCCAACATGGTCTATCCCATTTAAAGACTGAAACACGTGAACCTGGCGACTGATTATTGACTCGAGTTTGTGTCAACTTGTGAAAGCAAAGCTCTGATCACGCAGATGACGAAAATGCCTGTGACAACCTAATTTTATTCTACATTACTCGAAGCATCTCCTTTACCTGACACCTTAGGGGCAAACGCCAGAGTCTTTGTAGCTGCACAACAATAATTTGGGAGTATTTTTGCTTAAAATAAAGCTTCTTGCAATAAATCTTTAACAAGTGAGACATAATGGATTTTGCTGAGACCTTCCCTCGACTTTAAAAAGCATTTTCCTCAGCTGATAACGGTTTTGGCTTTGTAAAATGTACGTGACTACTGGAATAACCGTGCACTTCTATCGGCTCCCCTATAGTTTCAAAGGTACAACTACAACTGTCGGTCTCAACAGAAAGCCATCACTACTTTATAAAAACCTATGAAGCAATATAAAAAGTTTCATTTCCAAAAATTAAAAAAAAATTTTTCCGTCAATATTTTTTGAGATTTTGCTTCTGCTGTATTTACTCCTTTATTTTACAAAATTAACAGTCGTAATATTTGCTTCTAAGTGGAAGACGCAGGAAGCTCTGAAAAAACTGCTGAATTTCATCATGGCTAAGCTGGGCTATAGTTTCAGGAAGACAAACATGTAAAACAAAATCCTGAAAAATCCTGCTACTTTGAGTAACATTATTTGGCAGCGAATTCATTTCTTCAGGTTAACTCTTCGTAGCTTTTTGAATCCATGATTCTACCAATCAGAAAAAACTAAAAAAATTTCAAGCCACCAAATAAAAAACGAACGTCGACTGGCACGAAATGGAAAATACAGTTATTATTAGCAAACCTCTCGACAAGCCACCTTAAAAAAATTTGAGAATTCAAAAATAGAGTAATAAAACCATTCAAAATTTCCGTTGCCAAAAAAAACCATGATATACTTTTGAAACCTAGCTAGTAGCTTACAAGAAAATAATTGTGCCTTATACACTAAAAATATAAATAAAAAAAATTGAGACTACAAAAAATAAAGCATTTTGCTAAGCGGTAAACCCCTTCCCTTCTAACAGTGACATTGTCGATCCCGTTGTATTCAAAGGTCCTTTACCCATAAAAAAACTTTTTGCCTCAGATGCTTAATCAACCTTTTCCTTCGCTAAAAATGCCAGATCTAACAATTACGAAACAAATCTGCAAGAACTCACCGCAGCTGAAGTGTCTATAGAGTCAGCAGCGAAAAAGAATTTGTACTTCTCCTCGTTTCTGCAATTTGGCGAAATCGTGGAGGAGCTAATAGATAACGACGAATTGTAGCTAAATTAGTTCGTTGAATTTAAACTCAAAAATAATACTCAGACAACACACTTCAATTCTTCTGTACC